GTTACTGTAAAAATTTTTTTCATATATTGACATGTGTATTAATAAGTATATCAAAAATTAGAACCGTGTGTTTTATAGTTTTCTTTTAAAAAAAATTCCAAAGAAGGCCTTATTTTTAATGCGGTTACACAAGAATGTATCCTTAAGGATGTCTGCAGTTAGCATATAAAACTTATAGTTCCCGAAGTTTACCACGAGGAGGTGGCAATACGTTTTTAAACTCCATATTTTCGGGATGCTCTTTTAATGTGAGTTTCCTCGCCTCTCACGTTAACAAACCTCTCACATTAACAGAAGAGAATTAATTAATTCTTAATCATCATCATTATCACTTTCAATGACTGGAATGGAATTATCTTTTTTAAATATATCGCTGAGTATTTCTGCCGGTTTAAACATTTTTGATAAATATCTTGCATAAGATAAATAATATATATTGCGGCAATATAGGAGCAACAACTAATTGTTCGTCTGCCATTAGCACACTTACATGATGAGTCACATCGGAAACACCGATACTATTTGGTTTGTATTTCAGGGAACATCTATATGTTGCACGAGAAATATGTCGGGATGGAACTTTTAGTTTAAGAACATTTTTCTCATCTTTGACATATTCTATATTTAATTTATCATTTTTACCTACCATCTCTACCAAATACGACACGGCTTGAGAGAGTTGATACGAACCGGGAAAGAAAACCTCGAGGGGGTAACTACTAGCCGAAATGTTGTCTCACTGATTACATAATTTCATTTAATTTCATACGATTTCAAATGATTTCATTTGATTATAAACGATTTCATCTGATTGCAAATGATTTCATCTGATTGCACAATGTTTTGATCTAATTATAAATGATATCATTTGATTACACAATGATTTCTCTTGATTGCATATGTAATTATTTTTAGTGATTGCAAATGAAAATTTTATTTGATTAAAAACACTGTGTCGCGGGGATAACTACTTAATATAAACGTGAGACAATAATGTCTCCAAAATCATAAAATCTTTAAGAAATCGCTATGTAATCATTGTGCAATCAGATGTGTCCATGAAATCAGATAAAACTATGTGGAATCACTAAAAATCATAATGAAATCATGTGTAATTAGCAGATATTATTTGAAATTTCATTGGAATCATGTGTAATCATCAGAAATCATATTTCATCAGCATAAATTATTTTGAATTTCCATGTAATCATGGTAATCGTGTGTAATCACCATGAAATTTGTGATGAAAATGGTCACCATAAAATTTCATGAAATCAGTATAAGTAAACAATTCTAAGGGCCGCGACATAGACTTATGCGTAACACATAACGCATCCTCGAGGGGGTAACAACTTAATGTAATCGTGCACTGTTAAATTTTATAGGGTCAAATTAACTTAATGTGAGTCGCCACTGCTCCTACTAAATATATCGTTATTTTTAACTAAAATGATAATTAAATTTGACACTATATAATGTTAAATTGATACTATATAGTGTCAAATATAACCATTGTTTTAGTAAAAAATAACGATATTATTGAGTAGGAGCAGTGGCGACTCATTAAGTTAATTTGACCCTATAAAATTTAACAGTGTGAGATAGTCCTCGAAATCATTATAAAATTTATATGAAATCTCTATGTATAATCCGATAATTACATATGCAACCACAATAAATCATTGTATAATATTAAATAAATTCGTATTTTACCAAATGACTTTATGTGTAGTGAAAAAAATTATTTGTAATCAGATGAAATCATATGATGTCATATAATCTGTAGGACAATGTTTCAGCTAGTGGTTACCCCCTCGCGCATCGTGCATAAAGGTGCCTACTGATGGACGCGGTAAATGCCGCTCGCGGCAGCGCGGCACTTTAGAAGGAACTAGATTCTAGGAGTTTTTGAATCACTCTGCGTTGCCGCAAGTGAAGTTGGATTAATCCAACTTCACTTGCGGCAACGCAAAAGTAGCTACTTGTGCGAAATTCAAAAGAATAGATTCAATGATGGCTGGAGTGAATTTCGAGATTTCAAAGGTTAGCGTATATTTATGTTTCTGTATAATACGATTTTAATACAAAGATATTAGAATAATAATGTTACACTACCGTATTTTTTGTTGCAGAAGGTATACACATGTGGAATGTGCGAAACAATTCTTGACGAAGGTGACGTAAATGTCCACGAATGTTTCGTGAATTATCCATCACTTTTTTGTGATAAAAACACCCTTTATTTGTATCCTCAATGTGGTAAGTAAAATTATTTAAAATTTACGTTTTTTAAAAAAAAGGTAGAAAAACGCTAAGAATATTTGTACCAAATTATAACCTAACCTAAGTGATACTATCTTTACCTTTATTATATTAATGATATATGCATTATTTGTACCACATTAGAAAGTAAAACCCAAATAGTACTATTTTTATCATTTATTTACTTAACTCTAATATCTGTCATTTATATAAAAGATGTGATATTAACAATTGGCGTCAAGTTAAATTCTATCAAATTAAAAAGTAAAGCTCAAGTGGTGGTGTGTATTATCTTTATTATTTACTATTATAACTCTAATGTCTATCATTTATATAAAATATAAAAGACAAATAAAAAATAAAACATAAAAGACAAAACAAATGATAGAAAATATAAAACATTTAAATGATAAAAGGACTCTTTGTATAAAAATAAACAACAATAAACAAAGGGCAATGTAAAAGTCAAACAATCAAATTAATGTAACGTCTAGTTCCATAAATATAAAACATATAATTAGTTAGAAAAATTGAACAAGGTCCATAAATATAAAAAAACGTATAACTACTTAAAAAAAACAACAATAATATTGTTACAAGTTTCGGCTCCTGGATTGAGCCCTCCTCAAACATCGGCTTGTCGCAGTGGTCGGTGTAAAATATAAAAGGCAAAAACGAATGATATATTATTTGTGAGCAAACGTAACAATTTAAATATTTTGCAGAGGATGGAAACATTGTGCGCCGAAGTGCGATTGATGGAACAGAACTTTTTATTATGGAGCAAGTTCCCATAAACAAAGAGCCGGTGACATCAAGCCAGGGGCGAAATCTTGAAGAATTAATAATTGCAGAAGTATCCACACGAGAGCTATTATGGAACCAAAAAATAAATATAACGTGACAGGCTAACTGTACAACAGCTTTGGGAGCAAGTGGCTGATGTGACGAATGGTACGTACATACAGTAGGTGATCATATATTATTAGAGCCATAGTTCAAGTAATGCGATTTTTGAGTTTGTGTATAAATAAAATCAGTATATTGAAATTTGTACACATGATAATCTTTAATATGACAATTGTGCATTAAAATGCACTAAAAAAAGATAAACTTAGTATCATCAGAATTTAAGTGATATATAAAATGTATGGTTTTGTTATTACAGGCGAATGTTCTGCCGATGAAGTAAAGAAAAAATGGAAAAATTTAAGAGATCGTTACATGAAAATCATCTCCCTTGAGAAATTACCTAGTGGATCAGCAAGTAAACCATCTCGTAGGAAGTGGCAGTATTACAATTCAATGTCTTTCTTACGGGACACTTTTTTGAAAAAAGAGTTAATATTCTTCACATAAGCATTTGCTGAAATAGACAATTAATATCGACATATTTCATTTCGTTGTATTTCAGGACAGTTTCAAATATAACGAATCTTGATGAAGATCTCAACAACGATAAAGTAGCAGCCCAAGTAGAGAGAGAAGACGACGATACAGTTGATGCATCGAGGGGTATGTTTTGCTCATAAAGTGTACTTGTCTTTATCATAGTTACAAGGACTTGTAGTTCAAATTTTTCTTCGACCTGATATCATAGTAAAAAGCATCGACGATTATCAGTCGAAAATTATCTAATTGAAAAGTGTATTAAAAATCGCATTAAAAGTAGTACAATTTCGAAATCTGATCTTTGCATTTGCAATATTTTCCAATCGATTTAGCTTGAAATTAACGTTTGCTAATAATGCAATACATAAAAAAATACGAAAAACATACATAAGAAAGATGCCCTCGTTTAGGCACAAATTCGATAATTTTACCCACATCCTCCTTATACAAAATAAATATTTCACTTCTTAGCATCGTTATAGCTAGCTACATTAATTTTTCCAAAAATGTTTTATTTTTATAAGTGAAAAAAAACGAAGTAGTTCTGGTTGTGAAGAAGACGTGATGAAACAAACAGCGAATTAAGGCCTTGCAGACCCCACAACCAACACTGCCATTGCCGACGCTGACATACCTGTTTTTGACGAAGTTGACAACTTTACTTCGATGATCGCCCATCAGCTACGACAGTTAGTGCAATTCCGCAGACGCGAAATAATGTTAAAAATTCATCAACTCATACATACTGAATCATTGCATGAGAATAATATGTTATAATGATAAAACAGCAATGACTTGAAAATAATTTTAATAAAAAATGAGATTTTGATTTTATAGAATAAATTTTATAGAATAAAGAGGAAAAAATGATTTTATAATAAAGTTAAGAATGTATTAATATATTTATTCCAATAAAATAGTTATAATTTAACTGGACCGAGATACCAAGAAATATCCGCCAACTACTTACGATTATTTAGGCACGATCGAGGAAAATAAAAAAAAGAAGTCGAAAATTAGTTTGCATTATTTAAAGTTAAAATTTCTTTCCTGTGCACATATGGTATACATGGTAAATAACGATTACTCGCGGTAAAACAATTTTTGCGAAATATATAGTAATATCAGAGTTGTCGCAAATTTGCCACACTAAAATTTCATAACTTTTTATATAATATACAATTATAATATTATCGATCGTTTTGCTATGCCACTGAGCCTTCGTCATTAAAATATTTACAAAACTCGTCTCTAATGAGCATGGCATCCCGAGCACTTGTATTTGTGCTACATCTGGAGATATTCATGAATGCACAACCATCTTCCATAACCGTCCTCCACGAACCTCATATGTAATCATCTTCTGTCGTTTCTCTGTCCAGCATATCTGGTAAAATGTTATTGGTTTGCTCGATGTCACTCTTGCGAAGCCAGTTATGGAGACAGATTGTAGCTTGCACAATCTTCATAGTAGTTTCCACGCTGCTAATAATCGATTTTCGATAAATTCGCCACTGGCTAACAAGTATTCCGAAACAGTTCTCTATCACTCGCCTGGCTCTACTGAGTCTATAATTATAAATGCACTGTTCGGCTGACAAGTTATCTTTGCCGAAGAATGGCCGTAGCAAATATGACTTCAATGGAAATGCTTCATCCCCGACAATGCAGTAAGGCAACAATGGTCCTCCTCTATAAAAACTATCCGGTTGTGGGATATTCATTTGCCCTGCCTCAAGATGTTGACCTAACTGACTTTCACGAAAGATGCCTCCATCACTTCGCCTGCCATACGCACCAATATCAACGAATCGAAAAATGTAATTGGCATCACAAATAGCTAATAATACAATGCTATGACTATTTTTGTAGTTGTAGAAATTGGAGCCTGCATTGTCCGGACACTGAAATTACACAAAGGTTATTACATATATTGGAATCCATTTATATTGTTTTTTAATTTTTTTTCCAATAGCTTTAGATAGTTGAATAATGTCTGAAAAGAAGTGTAATGAAAGTATAATTTACTTGAATGATTACATGCTTTCCGTCAATTGCCCCAATGCAATGTGGAAAGTCCCACAAATCTTCAAAATCTGCGATTCTCCGCCAGTCATTTTCAAGTAATCGAGGTGGAAGGACCACAGGACACAGATTGTCTTAAATAATTCTGCACGTTGTAGCAATAATGTTGCTTACAGTTGTCAAGCCTATCAAATATTGATACGTCATTGAAGACATGGAATCACCAGCTGCCAGAAATCTGAAATGTAATAGTTGATATAATGAAATATAATTGATAACATTTACATACAACTAAATAAAAAATGTCTACCGTAATGTCAATGTCAATCGTTCTGCTGCACTTATCGGCTCTCGCACAACGTATTGTTTTTCTAGATGCGGACCTACTATAGATAACAACTCTTCGTATTGCGTGGCTGACATCCGAAAATAATTATGGAACCGAAGATCTTCCAATTTCAGTGTTGGCAGCAAGGCATGATAAAAACCATGCTCACAGCGTTTTTGAAAAATTGGTGCAACCCACAAACGCTTCTTTTTGTTTCTCCGTTTCTTTTTTTCGACTAATAACAAAGCTAATGATCCGAGTAGTTTATCACGTCGATCTGCTTCTGCATTCTGCTGATTAATTACATGAGTGCACTGCACTAACCACTCATGAATTTTCATTTTCGCAAACATCGTTTGCTCTAATCTTGTTAAAACAATCCTTACAACTATAACTAGAAACAAGCCTTGTGCTACTGAGGTACTAAGACAATAAGAAGTTAAGGTTATTTCACTTTTTCAATATGTCTTCCAACTGGATTATTTATGTTCCACTCAAACGGACGCCGTGTCAACGCAACGAACGCCGCGTTCACGCGGCAAGCGGCATCAGAAACAGAAGCCCCTAGAATCTAGTTCCTTCTAAAGTGCCGCGCTGCCGCGAGCGGCATTTGCCGCGTCCATCAGTAGGCACCTTAAGAGAAACAATTGATAAAAATTTTTCTTTTTTGTGAAGTGGAAGAAAAAGAAGTGTTCAGATTGATTAGTTCTCTTATTAGTTATGCTTTTTGCAAAGGTCTGTGTCCTAAAGTAGCAGAACGTAAACTACATTATCAGCCATGTTTTCTTGTGCACATAGAGCGTCATTTGTACTTGTTTAACATTAGATTATCGATAAAGATAAATTATGCTTTATGCGTTTGATGAACAAATTTGGAACCTCTAGAATCTTATATATAAGACGAAGCGCGACCGAACATATATTGCGCCTATGTAAAAAACATGGTGGTAGTTTATGTTTGGTAACCTCAGATTTATATACACTGATTTCATCAGATTTCATGATAATTCCACATGATTTCATCACAAATTTTAGTGATTGCATTGGATTTTCAGTGATTTTGTGGAAATTAAAAATGATTTCTACGAATTATATATGATTTCATTATGATACCTGATGATTCTGCATGATTTCATTTAACTTCTTGATTACACCTGATTGCAAAATTATAACATGGAGATTTCATAGTGATTTCGGGGACACTGTCCTACGATTACATTAAGTGGTTACCCCCTCGGAAAATCTTTATGTCTGTTTCTGTCATTTCCAGAATCCAAAGGATCATTATATGTAATATTTCTGAAAAGGAGTTTTCGGCAAAACCATTCTTTTTCTTCAGCCTCAATCAGAAATACTCAGCGATAAATTTAAGAAAGATAATTCCATTCCAATCATTGAAAGTGATAGTAACGACGATTAAGAATTAATTAATTCTCTTCTGTTAATGTGAGAGGTTTGTTAATGTGAGAGGCGAGGGACTCACGTTAAAAAAGCATCCCGATAATAAATACATAACGTGAGAGGCGAAAGGACTCACGTTAAAAAAGCACTCCGAAAATATGAAGTTTAAAAACGTACTGCAAAACCTCATCGTGGTAAACTCCGGGAACTATAAATTTTATAGGTAAACTGCAGACGTTCTTAATGGAAATATGTAATATTATATATTATTATATTATAATGTTCACTGATTAAATGTGTAGGCAATAATGAAATCTTTGTCTCTATCAATTTAATTGGTAATTGAACATTGCAACACTGCAACAAGGTTAGTATATAGTACCATGGCAACAGCCGCCATGCGCCGCAACGCGCCGGGGCCTCGGTCGCCCAGTCGGCACGGCCGCGGCGTTGCGCGAATAATTGTTTTTTTTAACCATGTTCCACCGCTCCGATCAATTAAAAAAATAGATCAAGGATTAAAAGCCAATCGAGTCTGACACTGGTAATTGTTGTGTATTAAATATTTATTCGGTAAGACCAAACGTTTCGATGCGTGTATTGGATCCTTCTCAATAGTCAAATTTACAATAAGTTACATCATTATTTTTCCTGAAATAATGACAACTTATTCTTATTTAGACAAAACACTGTACCTCTTCTGTTAAGCATTAAGACTCAAATGACACTCATTTTTCAGTTGTCGGACTTGAAATTGTATATGTACGACCATTCAGAAGAATCCAATACATTGATCGAAACGTTTGGTCTTACCGAATAAATATTTAATACACAACAATTACCGGTGTCAGATACGATTGGCTTTTAATCCTTGATCTATTTTGAATTCACACGAGTCGATTACGAAAATTACGCTTATTGTAAAAAAAATATATGTTAAAGTAGAGAGTCTACAGATTATTTTTATGAAGTATAAAAGTAGTCACTCAAAAATATTACCAAAAAAAAAAATTTACAAATAATTCAAAAATTTTTTTAATGGTTTTGCCTTTACCGTAAAAATTTCAAAACATTTTTTCAACTTACCTAAACGATGTTTACATATATTTTTTTCATTAAAATCAGTACAGTCGTTTCCGCAGAAAACCACTTTCTTTATTTCGCTTTCCCCCTCCATAACTCCCCAAAAAATGCAATTTTGAGGTTAATATTTGGGGAAGTTTTACATCTCAGGCGTACATCACCTAATGACACCAATTTCAGCTCGATTGGTGCGGGGGCAGATTTATATGCTTATTCCGCTATGCCCTTTTGTATCCACTTTACTTCTATTACTATTAAATGCATGGAGGGTTGGCAAATAACGCGTTACTTGTAATGCCGTTACTTTGTTGATCGTTACCTTGTCATAGTAACGTTTGACATTGCGAATTTTTTATGACGATAATGGTAACATCAGAGTTAGAAAAGTCAATTGTTACTTGTAACGGGTTGAAAAAGTCATTCGTTATTGAAAAAAAATAATTCCTTTTTCCATTAATTTGTAACGCGTTACTTTTTAATCATGTTACTTGTAATGAGTAACGTTACGCGTTACTCGTTACTCATTGTTTTTTTTAGTAAGTAACGCTTAATGATGACAAGAGTTACTTTTTAAAGTGACTTTTCTAATCTTAACACAATCTTAGCGTTTAGTTAGTTAGGGTTATCGTCATAAAAAGTTGCAACATCGTCATCAAATTGTTTAATATAAAAAGTAACGGCAAAGTAAATAAAAAGTAACGTTTGCCAACCCTGATTAAATGATATAATATTGCTATTGATACGTAAATTTTACGTATAAGGAAATAAGCCATTTTTAATTAATGTAATATAAATTTTTTCATACATTTCAGACTTTTATAATGAGAAATATTTATAATCTTAACTTTTATACTTATATAAATATAATCTAATCAAGAGACACGGTAGTGTCTCGTGCCAAGTGTAGCTAACGCGAGACTGCCCCGTGTCTTTACGCGAGCCGACGAGTTCCGAGCACCCGAAATTGGATCATTGAGAATATTCAGAAGATAATCGATTCTGAGTAATCTCAATGAACAACTTGTGTTTAAATTATATAATAAAGTAATGTAGGAAGTTAGGCAAATGAGAGTTCGATGCGATACTCAATGCACAATCATTGATTATATGTATTGCGACCACATTCACGAGCGTGGTACAAAATCTTCGTCGCGCATTCCTGATCATAATTCTTTACAATTTCTCCGGTATTCATCACTCCCCTTAATACTATCGAAATAATGTCGCTCCCTAGGGCGACTCGCGAAATACCATGTCGATGACGCGAAATCTAATTCGATACCAAATGCTCACAAAAAGTGCGCTACTATTCCCACGATGCACGGAACAGCGAGGTTCGGAAGTAAGCAGACAGTGATCTTTCGTATTCCGTCTAAGCGCAACGGTAAATTAATTTCCTCCCGAATCCTCGCCATTTGTCCGTTCGCGGTGCGAATACGAAAATTTTGGGAGGGGATCGTTGACCAACCTAATTGCCACACAATCTCGACCCTCTCGTCACCGAAAGTCGTCCAGTTCGATCCGGAGTCTACCAAGGCCGTTAACGAACGATCTCCAACATCAAGGCGGAAATAAGGCAATGGGGGTAATTCGTGGAAGGTCGTCGACAAGTACTCGAGTTTCTCTACGTGAGGTTGGCGCAGAAACAATACACGCGTCGGCATTCTGCATATTCCCGCGCTATATAATTTTCTCACAGTTCTAACACTTATCCGAACTGGGCCTCTATTCTCGAAAAATATCGCATACGAAAAACTAAGGAAATACTATAGTATGGTTACATATACTATAGCATTTCTTTAGTTTTTCGTATGCGATACTTTTCGAAAATAGGGGCCCTGGTCGTCCGCGCGGGGTTCGCCGTCGAAGTCGAGGGGGCGGGCGTCTCCGACCGCGATTGTTTCTGCCTCCTTGACGGCCGCATTAGCTCGACTGCGATTCACAGCCTTCCTACTTCCGACGATCACCGGAGTCGAAAACTTGATCGCGTCTGTCTGACCGCCCCTTCTGGGCCTTACGCGGGCGATAGGCTAATTCCGGGAACAAAGATTTGTCCGATGCGGGCGGGGCTCGACGCGTCGTACTAGCCTTGTGGTTCACTTCAAGTCGTGATGCCAACAGCTCCAGAGTCGTAAAATCAGATAATTCGTCTCGGCGGAGAGCCATTTGTAAAAGCAGTAGCATGTTACGATGCGTGTAATTTAACTGTTCCGTTAAATTCCACGACGGGTTTAAAAGACCGAAGAGGGCTTGTATGAAGGTTAAATAATCTGCAACCGGCTGGTCATCCCCTTGTATGCAACGCAAGATCTCATCCCGTAACGCGTACTGGAAATCCGGATCGCCTAAGCGCTCTTGTCACGCAACAACAAATTGGTCCCAGGTATCCGGTGAATACACCTAATACTCGAATAAATAAAGAAAAAATGAATGAAAATACTCATTCGAATACACTTATTTTTTATTCGTCATGAAACGAATAAATACTTTTTTATTCCATCTGAATGAATATTTTTTGAATATGATTACGAATATTTTCGTTTTTTGACGAAGTTTGGAGGTTGGTTAGATTTATAACGTGGCAGCGGCCGTCGCCATCGGTCTCTCTGCCGTGTCGATAACTTAACCTAGGAGGTTCTTTTGGTAGAGGCGTTCGGAATAACGAGAGAGCGTATCCGGTAATATGTACGGTGTATTTACAGTTTTATGTACAGGCTATGTGGTTGGCCCTGAAAAGGGCCGATTGTGGTATTTTATGTGGCCCTGAAAAGGGCCGTTTGATACGGCTGAAGGCGGTGTAGATGCCCGCGGTGATATGGCCGCTGGTGTCGCCAGGCAACAGGGCGACGTTGGTCGGCGCAGTCGGCTGTCCCTGGCGCTCACGAGGGCTCGCGGTGGCCGTGTGAGTCTCTGGCGTTACGGCGG